ATGAAAACACATACTGACTGTATGACATCTAGAAACATAATAAAACTTCCTGGTTTTATTGATGTCCACGTTCATGCTCGCGAACCCGGCGCTACCTATAAAGAAGATTTTAACTCTTGCACTGCTGCTGCTCTTGCTGGTGGCATCACAATGATATGTGCAATGCCGAACACGAACCCACCTGTGATTGACCGGGCTGCTTACGAATACGCCTCAGCACTCGCGAGAGTTAGTGCTCGATGTGATTATGCTCTGTTTGTTGGAGCATCATCTACAAACTGTGATACAGCTGCAGAAATTGCACCACAAGCAGCAGCATTAAAAATGTATTTGAACGAAACATTCACTACTTTAAAATTAGATGATATGACAGTTTGGCAAAAACATTTACAAAACTGGCCGAAGAAAATGGTTGTGTGTGCACATGCTGAACGTGAAAAAACTGGAGCCATTATTCTGATGGCCTCATTACTTGATCGTCCAATACATATTTGCCATGTAGCCCGAAAGGAAGAAATTCAAATAATTAAAGCAGCCAAGGAAAGAGGTTTGAAAGTAACATGTGAAGTATGTCCCCATCATTTGTTCTTAAGTACAGATGACATAGAACGAATTGGAAATGGTCGAGCTGAAGTACGACCCGTTTTATGCAGCCCTGATGATCAAGCGGAACTCTGGAAAAACATCGAAATCATCGATATTTTCGCAACCGACCACGCACCACATGCTGTCGAAGAAAAGGATGCCGTGAAAGCTCTTCCAGGTTTCCCTGGAGTGGAAACCATTTTACCGCTACTGCTGAATGCAGTACATGAGGGTCGCTTGACCATAGAAGATATTATAAATAAATTCCACCGTAACCCCCGAAAAATATTCAATTTGCCCGAACAACCAAACACATACGTTGAAGTAGATATGGACTATGAATGGACAATACCAAGTGCTATGGAATTTTCTAAATCAAAATGGACACCATTCGCAGGAATGCATGTATGTGGGGCTGTTCATCGTGTAACTTTGCGAGGCGAAATAGCTTACGTTGAAGGTCAAGTTTTAGTACCACCCGGTTTTGGCCAAAATGTTCGTGAGTGGCCTACGCCTAAAAAACAATCGTTCCCAGTATACGCAATAGAAAAAGTTGAGAAAGAAATAAGTCGACCAAATTCGGCGTTAGAGATATATGGTGAATTGACTCGTCTAAGTGATCTTGAAATTGAGCCTGAAAATCCAAGCAAATTAAATGTACATTTTAACGATGTCAATGGAAGAAGTATGTCACCATTGCCTGCACAAATTATAAGGCAAAGATGTGACAGTACTTCAAATTACAATCCCCCAACAGCATCCGTTTCCCATCGCCAAAAAAGCGATATCTTTGGCAAAAGTATAATAACAGTAGATTCTTTCAGCAAAGATACTCTGAACGACTTATTTAATCTGGCACAATTTATGAAGATAAGTGTAGGCAAAGGACGATTCTTAGATGATATTCTAAGAGGAAAAGTAATGGCTTCGATATTCTACGAAGTCAGTACACGCACAAGCTGTAGTTTTGCAGCTGCTATGCAGAGATTGGGTGGATCTGTTATACATACCGATGCTACGAGTTCATCGGCTAAGAAAGGTGAAACCTTAGAGGATAGTGTAGCTGTGATGGCAAGTTATTCAGATGTAGTGGTTTTGCGTCATCCTGAACCTGGCGCCGTTGCAGTAAGTTTACTTAATTGGCTGAATTGAGTTTTGGTTTTAGAAAAATATATTTTACCTAATGCAAATTTTAATTTTACAGCGGGCGTCGAGACATTGCAGAAAACCAATTATCAATGCCGGAGATGGTGTAGGGGAACACCCTACTCAAGCTTTATTAGATGTATTTACAATTAGAGAGGAAATTGGTACTGTGAATGGACTTACGATTACCATGGTAGGCGATCTGAAAAATGGACGAACCGTACACTCACTTGCTCGTATTCTCACCTTATACCAAGTTCAGCTACAGTATGTTAGTCCTCCAGGACTTGGAATGCCTAAACATATCATGGACTACGTCGCTAAAAAAGGCATACCGCAAAGGGTATACGAAAAACTGGAGGATGTTCTTGCTGACACACATGTGCTTTATATGACTAGGGTCCAAAGGGAACGATTTGACAGTCAAGAGGAATATGAAAAGGTATATATATGTAGTATAAAATTATGTTTTTTTTTTAAACAAAAATTTATTGAGAATAAATGACCCTTTCCAAGAGTTGACGCAAATCAGGATGTCAAAAAAATAAAGAACTGTAATTTACGTGTACAATTTATTTTCAGACCCGAGGTCTGTTAGTGGTGACCCCGCAGCTGATGACGCGCGCGCGCCGGCGCATGGTCGTGATGCACCCTCTGCCGCGCGTGGACGAGATCTCTCCCGAGTTCGACTCGGACCCTCGCGCCGCCTACTTCAGGCAAGCGGAGTACGGCATGTATGTGCGCATGGCTCTCCTCTCCATGGTCGCAGGAGTTAACCCTCTCGTGTGATTACGTTATTTGTAAAAAATATTTTAGTTACGTATTGGATAAATGTATATTGTATTTAATTTTGTATCAAAAGTTTATATTCCTTGTTACAACTTGAATGGAGACAAATAAGACAGTACACTACTTATGTATCGTCATTACCGTTAAAATGACTAAACTTTAATAATATAGTTTTTTTCTAGTTTTAAATGATATATTATTTTCACCTTTTGGTTAAAAACTACATAAGTAACTTACACCAAACACAACTACCTAGAATGCAATCTATTAAAATATGCTATAGAAGGATAATATTTATATAGTTTTCTTCGTCCTTCGTTCGTTTATTTTATTTTATTTTATTTTATTTTATTTTATTTTTTATCTCATTGCAATTCCAAAACATCGCGGTTTAGAAGATGCAATAGTGCTTTATTTTATTTTTATTTATTCAGAAAACCACAGCTCTTTATATATTACAGACAGTTATTCTAGTCTCATTTCTGAGACAAATGTAAACCAGTTTACTGCCATTTCTAGATCCTCCGTAACCTTTGACAGCCAGATTTTCCATGGTCTTTGGGGAAAATACAAAATAAAGGTTTTCAAAATAATATTTTGATTTATTTTAGGATTTAGGTATGCCATAATAATAATTGGTATGCGTACCTATGTTTTGCATGCTAAGTAATACATACTAGAAAATTCATAACATTGTTCACAAAATTATTTACTTCTTACACTGTTATGCAAAATTACTGTACATAATAGGTAAACCAGAGAGTGATTGCCCACTGGTAGTAATTGCCCACTTTAAGAATAATATTGTCAGGTGCTGACTTTGAATTACTCCAGTTAGATTTGAATTTACTAAGTAGATGGCTCCGAGATCAATGTACAGTTGATTTAAAATCTAGAATAGGAAACACTAAAAAAAAAACAGTTATGGCGGATTTTCTCAAGACGGGTGAAAATGTTACTCAAACAGGTAAAGACTTTAACAATTTTACTAAGGAATTACTTGCTTAGAGGTTAAATTTTTTTTGCAAGTTATTTAATATTCAACTAATGGTGTATAGTCATGATGAAATTATAAGTGTTTTCTCCATTATCAATGAAAATAACTGATAAAATTTGATTTCTAACGGTCATTTTAACGGTGGGTAATCACTGCACGTAAATCTGTATATTTTTAGTTATTGCCCACCATCATTTCAGTTATTGCCATATGTTAATGTATAGTTATTGCCCAGGGCAATTATTATTAGAGTGTTGCCACCATGCAGTAGCACTGTTTAAGTTGCTCATTGCTAGACTTGTTTTGCAATTTACAGGCATAAATATTAAAATGGCTTTTAATGTTTCATTTTCAGTATGCCAAAGACTCCAAAAGTTCAATATAGCATAGAAAATTTGCAAAAAGCGATCGAAGCTGTACGAGATATATCCAACAATTTATCTACAAGATAAATTGCTGAAAAATATGGTTTGGCTTGAAAAAATTGATAAAAATTCAAACGCAAATACAAAAAATGAAAATCCTACGTTTAATCTACTAGTGAAAATGTTAATTGTAAGGAAATAGATACAACTTTAGGGAAGAATAACCAACAGCTAATTGAACAATCTGAGCAACCACTTGAACTGATTATATCGAAGAAGAAAAAAAATTACATATAAAATTCAAATTTTTGCGTCATCTATGTTTTGAAGTAGATGATTCTGTCTCTACCGATTCTGCCTCATCAACATCAGCTCAAGAAATATTTGATAGTATGTTAGTAAAGCCAAACGCAATTTATTTTGAAATTTTGAAGACTGTATTACTAGAATTTAAGTTTAATGTTTTGTTTTGTTTTTTTAAAGCCTATTTTGTCATTTTAAAATTGATTATTTTGTTTTAAGATACTGGGCAATTACTGTGCTTTGATGTGGGCAATTAGTGTAAGTAATGGGCAATGACTGTACTTTTTGGAGGATTTTAAATTTATATCAATATTTTCTAAGTTACGTAAGTTTTAACTAAAAACTGTTAATATTCTGTTTAACAGTTTATTGAGTTATAAGAAAAAAGTCATAAATGGTCGATAATTAAAATACTTTCTTTAATTTTTCATCTCAATGTGTTTGAAATCTTTAAGTGGGCAATAGCTATACGGTTTACCCTATACTATTACTACATTCTTTTTATTTTCATAGAAATTACATCAAGTTTGGAAATAGAAAATTGTATTTGTTTTGATCTGACATAACATTAAACTCATTAAAATAACTAATTATTTTAGAAATTATACAAAATTAAATCCTAAATAAGAATCGTCGTAAATTAATCGTAAAATTAAAAGACGTGTTTCATTTGTAAGGTCTTCATGACCACAAAAACAAGAAGTTTTGTTAAAGAACCCAACAGATCATTTGAATAAAATATATTTTATATAATAAACTAATTTTTAAGAGATTCTTAAGTACTAAGCTTATTCTTATTTATGTATAATAATATCTAACTACAAACATAGATAACCTGCATTTCTTGCATACTAAAGTCTAGTAGATAGTAGCCTACTAATAGTTAATAAAAACTTATAACTTCGATTCTTCTCCAATATCGTCAATGTTTAACCTAATAGAATCCTGGTTTGATGAGCTTTCAGCATGTATTTCGACAAAGGTGAATGCTGAAAAACCAGAAGAGTCTGAGGGAGAGTCTTGATTAGTAATATTTTCATATCTGGGGCGTAGTTTTCTAATCGGCCTTTGGGCAGATCGTTCAACTGAACTCTCCCGTCGTGGAGGAAGCTTGAAACCAACTTGGTTAGCCAATTTTCTTTGACAGTCAAGCAGCTTGTCCCTAATCACATCCAAATATTCGTTAGCAGTGTATTCCCCGGCGGGTTCTTCCTTCAACAGCACGCAAAGCCTTTGCGCTTGTTCCAAGTAGATCACCGCTTGTCGTATAGCTTCAAACTTCTCACTAGAACGCGCCATAGCAATGAAGTGGGGGATGAAAAATTCTAGAACCAAACGTCGGCGCTCTACTTCCATCCGGTTCGGCAGTATTATCTAGAAATAAATAAAAAACATTAGTAACACGATTTTGAAAAAAAATGTGCAGTTAATGTTTTTATCAATCCTTTACATGTCAAAATCAAATCCAATACCAGATGAAAAGAATATCTAAATCTTCCTGCAATAAATTAACAAGCTAAAATTGTTTTGTAGTTTACAAGAATGGATTTTTTTAACATTTATAAAGACCAACTGATAAAAATTTAAGTATTTTCTTACATTGGTATTAATTTCATGTTCTTGCTTTATCGACGCCCTCTGTTTTCTAATATAAAACTGTGCTTTTCTTCGCTCTTGTAATTGCTTTTGTTTTTCTTTTTTCCATTGATAATACTTGTCATGTTTTTTTGCTTTATCCCAGAAGTTTGTATCTGGCTCCTCATCAGTATCAGAGCTGTCAGCATAATTTGTATTGGGCATTGGTAGGTTAGGGTTTAATATTCTTAGAGGATTTTTGCTAGTCAATATTTCGTATAACCTTTGAGTATTGAATTGGGGATAAAACTCTTTTTTTGTATACTTAAGTTTAGTCAAAGCGCTCAGCAGATGCATTACCGGAGCTTCCAATATATCAGCTAGCCGTCGTTGCATCTTTAGAAGAACTGGTTTTGGAATACTTTTGAAGTCGTTACAGTTCTCCATGAAGTAATTTGGAAATCGGCCTTGGCCAAAGTGGACGTAAAAGCGTCTCAAAAATATTCTCAAAGTCTCACCCAGACGATGTTCTGGCCATTTTGCGTAGTTATCTTCACATTGCCAAAAAAGATGGTTTTTGATGTGGCTTACGTCTATTCCCATTTTGGAGTTATCATGTTCCATCATAAAACTTTTTTGCAAAGTGAGAGCAAACAAGTAACAGCGCATGTGTGCATGAGCTAAACAACTCTCCAGGTAGCGTTCTGCTGCTGGGAATATTATTTTCCACTGCAATTTCTGATCTGTGTTCAATCCCCTTTTTGGTCGAAACCCAACAGGTACTAGTAAACAACCAAATCCCATCGCTTTACTAACCATATACTTGGTTGGCCATTGATAACTAAAGTTTGTTCTTGGGTTTTGAATAATCTTCCTTTCCCGAATTATCCATTGATTAGCTGCATTTGGCCAAGACGCTATAAGGGCAGGAAATACTTCGTTTCCTATCTTATTTCCATTCCTAAGTGTATCACAGTAAATACTAGCCCCTTGAGTGAGAGCGCTGTTTATAGCATCTTGAGATAGACCTAAAACTGAACCCAAGTCAAGTATGAAATTGTCAACAAAATTTCTCATAAAACCCACAGAACAAAGATAATACTGCGTATCATATAGATTTCTTGATAGAGACAATTTTGAAGTGTTATCGTCGGAGTCATCGTCTTCATCATCAGTCCAATCGATTGCTCGAACAGCTACAGAAGTCCAGGTTTCGTCAGGCAATACCCCTGATGAATGTGAGCTGTTGCCCAGTGAGCTAAGTTCCACTCTCTTTGGAGTAGTCGATTCTTTTATTGTTGAGTAACCATAATCAGACTCATTTTCACTCAAATCATTGGTTTTCAAGCTACTAGAATTAGATCTATAACCAGAAGTTTCGGTATCCTCTGTTATAATACTTTCAGCAGAGATTGGCCGAGCATCAAAGATTGAATTTTTTGCTTTCATGTCTCTAGTAGGTCCACTAAGCCTTCTTGAATTTTTCAAAATAGATTTCCTGGGCCTAGATTCAAGGTCTTCGCTTGCTATTTGATCTGGTTTGAAGACAACTGAGTCTCGTCTTTCATCCTCTTCAAGTAAAATATTGGTTTTCCGCATATTACTTATGTTTAAAATGTTATTTTTCTCCACTTGCACGCTGACCTGTTTAGATGGCCCACTGCGCCTTCGCCCAGTATCTTCAAGTACATTAAAATTCAGTTTCACATTAGGTGCTACTGATTCCTGACCGGTGTCAAGCCTATTTTTAATACTTTGCAGTAAAGCTTCTCCTGTTGAAGTAGATGGAGAATCATCAGAATCATTGGATTCCTTTTCAGATTCTGTATACACACTGTCGTCCGAATCAATGTTATTGGCTCGTACAGATTCATTCTCTTTCAATAAGGTACTTTCTAAAACTTCCAATTTCTTTAGTTTCACGAACCCTGAAAAAATGGTAAATGATATTTAATTATCTAAAACCAGTATAATCTTAATTTCGCTGCAATTTTTTTCCGGGAAAATATTATTTACCTGGTTCTTTGCAATCTTCTATGCGTAACTTATAAAAGGGGGCGTCGAGTACAGCGCTATAGTCCGATGTATCTCCCGGTTCACTGGCCTCCACGTTATCATAGATAACAAAAAGTCTTGGCGAAGTCAAGGGCTCCATTTGCCCACGAACTTTTTGGTAAACGACATGTTCATTTACATTTTCTTGAAGTCGGTCAGCGAAGAAAACATGCTTGTTGTGACGAACCATAGCGTCATTTATCATATGCTCCCGTTCGCTTATTGGATTGTTTTTAATATTTTGCACCTCCCTAAAACAAAAGGATACGTCATCTTTAAGTAATATGTGTGCTGAATCCCTTCTGTTTACCTATGTTCCTAATAATTATGTTTATTGTTTACCGTTATCACCATCACGAACGACTGTAAAGCTTAATACCTTCTTATGATAAAATGAATAATGATATCAATAATCTCTGATTTTTAAATCAAATAAACCGAAATTTTTAAATAGATATATAAAAATCATAAAACTTTATTAATACTTTAAGACTTTCCTAATATTAAATATAAGTATACGTAATTAACGATATGATTAAGTCTTGTTACCTACGTGATTTTACTATTTTTGCTAAGACTATCAAAAGTTAGTGCTATCAAGAAACTACACGTTGAGGTGAAGTTAACTACGTGGTAATTAAGACATTATTATAGTTACTATTTATTTTCAACTCTCCGCTACAAAGTTTTACAAGTCATACTCTCTGAATGTTATTGTGTGTGAAATCTTCATCGTAAACCTTAAAAACATGGTGGCGCAATGGTGCAGTTCACATTTCTAAAATAAATAGGTATAATGAAGCCAGGCGAGTCATTAGTTATCAACAATACAATTTAATACCTAACACATACCTACTTGAACCTTATCTGTCGGAATCTTTTAAACTCACCTAAGTATATAGAATCACGGTTTATCACAAGACGGAATAAAGATTAGAACTAGACTTAGCTTTATTAATTATTTATGAAATACAATAATTGACTCTTATACGCTCAAATAGCTTACTCATATCCGCTGCAAGATAAGACATTGTTATAGATGACATATGTACCTACTTACCTACGTATAATCTTCAATCATCTTTTCTTTACCTAATATTTGTGCAAAAGTTCTCACAAAGAGTTGTCTTACGTAGAGAACGCTACTATAGGGACTCTGCATGTAACTAGATTATGGTACTACCTATGTTGTATGATAGAGTTCCAATAACAATAAGGGCGCGTTTGTAACATTAAAAAATTATATCATCTAGGTAATTTTTAGAACTACTTAGATACAAGACTCTACTCGTATATTCAAATTGCACTACGGGACTGCTTTATCTACAATTTTGTTATCGAAAGATATGGGACTTCCCTCTCTAACTTGATATGGAATAATTTACAGAACTTAATTATTTCTTCGGGGTACTTTACTCACTCAAAAAGATAAGCACAAGGCTAATACTAAGGTCAATTTTCAATTCGAGAATTAACAATAAAGTTGGAAAGTAGAATCTCACTTAGCTATTTTTTTTATTTAACATGAGTTCACTAACTATAGAGACCACCCAAACTCACACGGATATAAAATTACAAAATGCTATTAAAATTGGCAGTTTTTTGAAAATGATATAACTGTTCTTGATACCTACTAATAATTTTGTCGATATTTAACATACTCCTTCAGTACTTTGATTAGTGTACTTATGTAGGTATCTACTTAGTTCTAGAATGAAATAATCGAATCAAAAGATATCATTTATTTCGGACTGAGTCCATAATATTCGAATAATTATTTGAATAATGCGATAGGATTTTCTTTGAAATGAAAAGCTTTCGGTAAATATTAAGAAAGTTTACATTTTTTTTTTCGGGGATAGCAGGTAAATACCTAGGCGCTCTAAGTTTTTTTGTAACTGATCGATATTTACACGGATTAAGTCGCAAGGTAGGTTGAATCAATAAGTAGTATTTATTGCAACACCGACTTTTTCCGATTATTTCCATCTTCTTAGCTGCTCATACAATTGGTGTTCTGCATTGCTACCTAATTTATCCATAACTAGCGGCCGCCCGCGACTTCGTACGCGTGGACCCCGTTTTACCCTTAGGGGTGAAGTTTCGAGTTTTTTAGGGTTTACCCGGAAATTATTCAAACTTTTCTCGCTGTAAAAACCATCCTTGGACTTCAACAAATATTTAAAAAAAAGAATTGGTAAAATTGGTCCAGGCGTTTTTGAGTTATGCGCTTACCAACACATTTTGCGATTCATTTTTATATTATAGATATCTAGAAATTGTGACCTATATTCTTGATCTTGAATTCAACGAAGGCTTAATGATAATAGCTTCACTATCTCTTCGAACTGCGCAATTAATATTGCATCAAATAATATTAAAAGAAATTATGACTTGTAAAACACGACACGAACAAAATTCGTGACTTTCATAAGAACTATTCAGTACACGATAGAAATCTGACCAACAATACCTTTCATAATTTTCAAAGAACTGCACCGAGAGCAGAATGTTGTTGAGTAGGAAAGCATCAGCGTCGTTTCGCAGCTGGAAGCGCATGAGCTCCAGAGCCTCTTCGTCGAAGGAGCGCACCTGCGCCGGCGGCGGCGCCGGCACCGCCGCGCTCTGCGGCACCGGGCTCACCATCGCCGCCAACGGCACCGGCGGCTCCTTCACCGCGACCCTCTTATTCAACGGGTTCGCATTCTTCTTACGCTTCTCATCCCGTTTCTGCTCCCTCCATCGCTCCCTCTCGAAAAACTTGTCCGGTTCCTTCGCACTCTTCTTCGATTTAGAATTACCCATCACACCAAATCAAAAATATCACAATTTTCTAAAATCAATATCTTGTATAACGCCCGCCTTTATTACACACACATTTTGTTCTTCCTCAAAAATAATTAAGTCACTTATCAATTAAAATCAGCGCAACCTAGATGTCCATTTATAATCGTCCACTGAGCGGCACTGAAAAATATTCGATATTACAATTAAAGTGATTGCTTTATCAGTAAACCTACTTGCATTATTCTTATCGCAGAAAATTGATTAGCGGCATTGTTATTCCAAGTAGGCTTTATTAAAAGAAGTTGAAGAGGCCGTGGAAACGTCAGCTAACTTAGCAAGTGCCGCTCATACTCCCTTCCAAACACTTCTATGAAGAACCGATAATTGCGTTCGTACAAGCACCCATCGCACTGCATTCTTTTATAAAACATGTCTGTTACATAAAATCAAGATGTTTACTGGATCGTGTACTCAATGTGTGGTCTAGATATTAGGCACAATTAATGTCAAATTCCCACTTTATTAATTGTCGGCACTTTATCAAGACAATCCTCCATCGAAGTGCAACGAAAACTTGCCCAATAGGTACAATCAATGCGAAGTTTAGGCTTCACACTTATTTTCTTTATTTTTTTACAAGAAAATATTTATAGAATACTTGATAGGTTAGTGATAAACTTCAAACTTCTAAATTAAATGTCGGAAAACTGAACTGAACTATAACTTAAGTTACCGGACAGTGTTCTGAGTTTCTAATTGTAAAAAAAATAGGTATTCATAGCAGGATATGATAACAAGATCTTAAAACACTGAAAGTAAAGTATAAAATATATATTCTTATTTAAAATAAAAAGTAATTTACACTTTGGTCCACTAACTACAATTTACACTAAATAAAAATACCTACAAATTACAATTAATATTTTTCTTACAGTTGTTTTCAAAATATCACACTTAACGGATAACGTCAGCAACATTGATTTAAATTAATAACAATCTATACAAATAATTCTTAATAAATTATAATATATAACCAGGATGTAAAAGTTTTATACATTAGAAATACACGCCACAGAGTTCATATAATCGAAAAATAAATCAGTCTGCATGATTGCGTTTTACAATTAATAAGTATTGGTATTATCGACCAGAAAAAACAGAATAATATTAACAGTTTTCAAAATAGATTAACCTATGTAAGATTATATCACCTGGAAATTATGTGGGTACCTATTACTTAAGTATGCAATTTTAATATAAATTATCTGAAAACCAATTAATTTTACCGTATTTGAACCGTTCTTGCATCAGTACAAATGTACTTAACATTAGTAGGTATAAAGATTCTATGATATTCTTAAACGTAACACTGTCATTCCACTTCACCACAAAACTTGACTCCATGACTATGACCATTATTTTATGACTTACTTTGAGAGTGATGTAAACTTTACACAAAGTATGGCAGTATTTTTCAATACTAAATTAATAATAACAGACGATTCGCGTATATGCCAGATCTAACTTTCAGGTTTTTTTTACTTAAGCTATATAAAAATGATTCAATTTTAAGTAGGTATATGTTAGAATAGTGGACTAAGGCACATTTCTTAATATTTCCGCGGGTGGTAAACTCATCCCAGGCTCCTCCATGTGGTTCGCTATGCTAACGTCGTCGCTTTCAGGGTGCGTGTTAACGCGCCTTTGCTGCTTCATTCTCTTGACTTCGCCCATTTTTTTCTCTAACATTCGCCTGAAACCAATGCAAACATCATTGTTATTCTACACTGCCGGGTAAGATTACGTTTTGTTATGACTTTGTAGAAAGTAACTTGATAGCTTGGAACAATGCGTATACCGCTGCTGTTTTTAAATAATACTTATGCCACTTGGTTTACTTTACACAATTTTTATTCTATCAGACTTCTAGAATCAAGGGGGGTTTTAATTTTAACAACCTATAGTATGTCTTAGTTGAATCCACTTCTGAAGCATAGCATAGTAGGTATCATCATTATTTTCTTTTTTAACTGAATCATATTAATCACTCAAAGTACGAGTAATTTTACCCAGAAACCCGTAGTCAAACTCTTCAGCAGTTGTAAACACCTCTATCTATACATAATAGATAATTATTTTTAGTTGGCTGATAGTTGACCCGATTCTAATTTGTATGAAGAATCATACGGTGTTATGTGCGCACTTTCATACATCTCCATTGTGTCCATACTGACCAACAGCCTGATTCCAACTATCAGCCAACTAAAAGTCGGTGCTCTACGCCTAGGCTAAATCTGCCCCAAAATCGTTTTGTAAACAAAGTTTTGCCTTACAGTGCTAGTGTGGTACTAGTGGGCTACTTTACTAAACTATATGATAAGAAGACTTACTGCTGCCGCCAGTCAATAAGGACACCGAGCAGGAAGACCGCTGCGATGGCCAGCAACACCACCACGGTGACGCCCACGATGGCAGCGACTGTCAAGGTGGGTATTTCATCCTCCATCTCTGATACGGATATGCTTGGATCTGCCGTCGATTCCAATAGGTCTGGAATAGATAACAAACATTAACTTGTTTTTTTTATTTCAATTTACCATACAATCGCCAAGACTCAAACATGTTCGTTCTGCCATGGTTCGGCAATTTTTACGACTGTTCCCACTCAGTTCTTTGAATCTGCGAGCCCGTATTTAAATGCCCAGTACAATAGGATACGCTCTAGACCTAATGACCTATGGATATTATGGGAATAAAACCTATTAGTATTTGCAAAATCTCTCAAAAATTTTAGAGTAATATTTGATTAATATTCATGATTTCAGTGTTTACGTTACCTGCTTCTCCCCAATTAGCACTCTTCGATATTTGTTCCATTTGTATTTCTTCAATAAATCGCCCAGTACAATCTGTAACAAAAGAGAAAAAACAGATGTTCAAGATGACGACTCCATTGTCTCCTTCTTTGTAAGTACCTAACTAATTAATTTATGTTACAAATGTTTTGCTAAGATGTAGGTACTGAATGTTGGTTGCCTCTTGCATGTCGTTATAACTGTCAATTAAGTAAGTAGATAAATGGCTGATCATGGTGGAAATTTTCAAGTCTGACCGACAAAAGTAAATGCCGAGAGTTGATGCATGATTAGTTTTTCATAATGCAACCGCGAAACAATTTAGGCAGCGGCAGGAGTTTACGTCATCAGACAAAAACATGTCATCGTCATCTGTAGGAAAAAGCATTTATCTTGTATCATGCTTTGTCCACTCCCTAATGAAAATGTTAATCATGATTAGCTACGAAAACGATCCTTCATGAACTTACGTGGACTGATCAGACGATAAGTCTACCTTTGCGTACGTACTGTGACTGTAAGGACGTTCGTTGATCACCGCAGCTTATCGGTATAGGGTAGGGACTGAGTTCAACCACAAAGAAATAAATATTGTTATCTATCTGACTAAGTAATATGGATTCTATTTAATTCAGAGTTTGTTGCATTTTGCGTGTTTTGAAATAGCTTGCGGTTGAAGTCGAGACATTCAGAAATTACCAACATAAACCTAGATTCTAGCCTAATTTATAAACAGGTTTGCATTTTGCATGAACGAACATCAGTAAAATTTTCCTTTTTCTGTGTTATATATTATATCAGTACTTTCAAAATTTCACTTGAAAATCTTACATACATAACAACCGGATTTAAATATCTGATATCATTGATTTCAACACATAACCCGTAATTAACAATAAAAATGTATAAATAGAAAATAAACGATAACAATACCTACATATCCCTCAGTGAAAACTAGCCGCAACGAATAAAGTCCACATTCTTGACTTTATTAATAGATTACAAAAACAATTCTTCGAAATTGTTAGAATCGATAATGACGTAAAATAATTAAGATCGCTGATAAATCACGGTTTCTGACTGCGACTTATCAAATGTAGTCACGCTGATTTTATCAAGATCACATGTATTATGACTGTACTAGTGTGAAATTTTGACTCTGCTTGCTCGTGTAATTAAAGAGTTCAATATCAGGCATGTTCCGCAGTGTCCGCGTTGAGACTTAAAATTATTTCATTACTAATCTAAAAATTAGTAAAAAGCAGCTAAGCAGCTGCTGGTCGTCGTCGTTAACTGTAAAAGTTAAAAATACATATTTTTTCTTAAATTAATAAATTTCGTTAACGGGACTATTCCCACCTCTCGTTCCCACCACTTGCAACTCCTGTGTAGCCAGGATCTACAGCTTGACCGCCACAAAAACCCAACCAATGAAGGTCAAGTTTGTCCCGGGGGAAAGTTAAGCTGTCATTGGACCCGCAACGAAATTAATCAGAAGAACATAGGAGGAGTTCGAAATTAAGGTTCGACTTCCCTCCATTGCAAAGCGGATGACAGGTGACAAACAAAGGTTTNTAGGAGGAGTTCGAAATTAAGGTTCGACTTCCCTCCATTGCAAAGCGGATGACAGGTGACAAACAAAGGTTTAAAACCTTTAAGAAAAGATTATGCACCACGGGCAATAAATTAAATTAAGGGGGCCTATCTTATGAGCAATTAGCAACTACCTGCCAATAATATAATATATTTCATTAGGGAAATCCTTGGGGAAGGCCATTTTTGAAACTAACGAACGGATAAAAATATTGTTCCGAAATCCGACACCAACCGTAAAAAACTGACATATAATATTGTTGATTTGTATTTAATATTGAATTGTAGGTACCTACATAACTTTCTGCTAAGAGCTATGTAAATAGGTGTTAAATTGTATTCTGAAAGTTTTTTTATGTAATTAGTGGGTGGTGAAGCAAAATTAACAGATTTAAAAAAATAATTAACTCCAAAATATTTAACTCCATAATAATACGTATGTAAACCATAATCTTATTTGGTCAAATAAATGTTCAACCACATGTACCTATGTGGAGTTATACTACGTATTTTTAGATATTAAATAGTCTACCTTACAATCCTACTTCCTACTAATATTATAAATGCAAAATTTTGTGTGGATGTCTGGATTTTCTACTCTTTCACGCAATAACTACTGAACAAGGTACTTTCTTTGTGGGTTTTTGACATATTACATACTGAGGTGGGCGGAACATGTTCGTACCTACCTACGTATACTACACTCGCATATCTACCAGGTACTATGCAGTATGCATATAAGTATGATAAACTCCATCACACTAGCTGATAGTTGTGCTGATAGATAAGTACCCGCCTACTGCATACCATCACGTTCTCTGCAATGCCAGTGTACTTACGAAGGTGATTCAGGAAACTAATCATAAAGTGAAGATAATTAAATACATAATTAGACGAGTACATTGCCTTTATTACCTACATTTTCAGGTTGCCTAATGTCGAGCCTAAATTACTCAGAGCATTAAATGTCAAAGCCAATTAGCGTAGCTTTGCGTTATTCGTAAAAAAAAATAGTCGTTCAGTAAAAAAAATTAGAAAACTTATTTATTACTTTAACTTAATTATTTGTAAACCGTAGTTAAATGCTGAAAAATCGTATTTGAGAATTTAGCGAGTTAATAGAGCACTCTCTACATTGAAATTTCAGCTTTACTAAGAAGTAACAGAGGGGTCGAAAAGGTCTTGAAAATATTTTTAGAGAACATTATGATTGATACTCATAAAAGTTTATAGTCGTTTGTTGATTTATTTTTGCACTTACTTTTTAAAACTTAAACTTTTACATGTTTTATTAATATTTCTTTCTTCATACCCTTTAACTAACTAGTTTTCATTTATAAAATGAAACATGATTAAGTATTTATTATCTTTCGTATTTTATAATCTAGACTCAAGATGAGATTTAACAGTAGGTAGTCATGTGTCATGCAGCCGCGTGGAGTACATTCCCATATCACAACGTGATAAGTACACATAACCTTCGTAAAATAATTTGACAAGCATATTTTTTGTGTGTTAATAATTAGGTACATTCAGAACTAGATTGTCAATAGTCATTTGGTTCATTCAGCGTAGGAAATAAAAAATATGCGTCGGACAACATGGCTTATTAACATCCATTTGCATCCTTGTGTTACCGTTACGTTGTAGGGAACTGAGTTTCCCCGGTAGGCTCACGTCAAGGTGTGCTGAGAGACGCCCAGTCTTTGAGGCTAGGCCAAATAATTAGAAAAATAGTAATTTCATTTTCAACTTTGAAGCTGGATCACACAACGTCATCGAGGTATCAGAAACGAGCTCGTAGTTGTTAATTTACTCTTTTGTTTTTAGGAGTTTAGTTAGCCCTTGAATTAGTTGAGTAAGATTTGTTGATACGTGATTACTGAATCACTGCAAAATTATTCCCTTGAAATTCTCTTCGTAAGCCTCTAGCTAGACAGCGTTGGGAGACTGAAAAAATGTTCCGGTTACACTGCCCTATCACTGCACTTTTTATTTATAAATTCCAAATGAGTAAGTATTTTGCACAATCTGGTAAAAGGCATTGGATTGAATGTTACGCTATCCCAAGTCGGCATTTCTATTAACTTCTCAAGGTAGCGTAGGTACGTAAGCTTCTCGGCTTGCGTTTTATTTTTTGCGTTAGTGTTTTGCTCAACAGCATTTACTACAGCACGAAATAACAGTCATACTGCATTAAAAATTTTACGGCACAGCTTATCTCTTATCACTCATTACCTAAGCTTAGCACACAGAAATCTACTAGTAGTTAATGGCCATATACATTTAATTTAAATTATGATTTGAGATATGAGATAAAGAAATAAAATTCAACCTTAAAATAAATCACATAGTAACGTTAATAAAACATTATTTTCCTTTAAAGTAAGTAATGTCGATAATGTCCCTACTAGGTCTTAAAAGCTACGGTTACACGAACGCGTACGCCGCGGCCGCTGCAGCGCGCATCATTACTACGCACCCTATGACCGACTTGGGGGAGGCCTTTGTCCAGCAGTGGACGTCTTTCGGCTGAAACGAACGAACATAATATGTCTAAGTACATAATGCAGCTAGGGACTGGAATTCCTTGCCTGCTGCTGTCTTTCCCGAAGACTATAATCCGGACTATAAGGCGAGAGTGAATAGGCACTTACAGGGCAGATATTATGTACCATCCTACTTAACATCAGGTGCGATTGTGGTCAAATACCTGCCTTGTTTTGCATAAAAAAATATTATTAGAAAATTATTTCGGATTTTTATTATGTTTTATAGTATTCTGTCATAATGTAAATATCTACGATATTATGTTTATAATTAACAAAAGCTATTACAATCACCTAACTCCAGTACATGTATAATAATTTAATAAAATAGTTACCTTCACCTACTCGTAGTCATCAATGTCAACACCACCATTGGTCTGTGAACCAATGCTTGTATGTAAGTATACATTGATATTTCAGTAAATTTTTATATTTTTCATTATGTATGACTGTTCCAGCTACTATGAATAAAATCGTTCGCAATGAGCCTGTACGGTTAAACTACAGTTAGGCACTCACGGAACTCGCCAGCAGTAAAAGGATTACGAGAGGTCCTTCTCTCTACAAGTGAATCATTGCGATAATGTATGTCAAGAGCGACGCAAACGCATGCCCGGAAAGTGACAATGATCGGTACGGGTTTGCGATGACTCAAACACTGTTAGCTGCCAAAATACACGGAAGATTTCACTGCAAGAACCCTGAAGAACTTAGGGCCTACTTACATATACAGGATGATTTCTGGAATGAAAACTGTCCAGAAGTGAGATCCAGTTATTGAAGTGGCTAGCTCTGTTGACGTATTCAGCTGCTCTTTGACTGAATTCACCAAGGTTACAAGTTCTATGTTATGGTGATAACGAAAATTTTAATTATTAATACGTAGATGCTAATTAATCTACTCTATCACATTCGGGAAAATATCACATTGTTAGAGGTAATGGTTGTTGATAATGAAATAATTAAATAGGTATATTTCATCGAAACTGTGAGTTCAACTGTTGTGATCAATCAAACTTATGTAGTGATCAACTAAATAAAAACGCATCTAACGCACGGCCTTCAATGTTTCACAAGCTAACATTTATTTTAACGACTTCGATGCTGATTCGACGTCGCAAGCATGCGTAAAATCAATTTCAAACATTGAATTTCCAGTACTTACATAAACTCACGACACCAAATGGAGACTGGTCCTTTCACTCGATAAACTAGTTTCGTACATTAATTTAGCACACTAAATGCTTTGGCACTTTGTATCACTAATGGTTAAGGTGGAACACAATAACACGGTTTGTTTGTATGGAATTTTTCGACGGTTCAGCTAAGAGCGCATGCGCAGCGCTCAGCGGCGCGTCTCTTACTGTAGGTATTCAACAGAGGTGTCCGCGATTCCGCATTCAAGAGATCACCTCGCCGTGGTTGGAACCAGCTGGTTCACTTGCGAGTAATAATATGTACAAAACCAGGTTTTTTTCTCTGGACACATATTTGTATCAATATATCAATTGCTATGATAGGACTGACTTTCAAGGTGATTCAAAAAAAATCTAAATTGGATTAATATGAAAACATATTATAGAATTACGGATTCGTTCTACTTTCCATTTACATCTAATGTTCTCTTTATTAACAAACAACTTTTAACATCAGTTGTTACTTTATAAGAGTTTACGGAATTGTTACAATTATCCATAATATTTTAAAAATGTATTTTGATTGTAACTGCTGCTTGTTTCTCTTCTATTATCTGGTTGCTGTCTTAATACTATGGATTTGTATGGGCTTGTTAAAAGTTTTGTTTTCAAATAGTGTGAGTGATGTACTTTACTTTTTGTGTTTTATTACTGGAGAGACTTGTGTGGGAAATTTTGCATTGGCCATGGGATGTTTACTCTTGTTTGTTTTTTTATATTGTCACTTGCATATTTTTTGGTATCTGAAAAGATTAACCATAATTTTACTCTAGATTATTTGTATGACGGTGTGTGTGTCGTGGTGATGCAGGGCAATACTACTGGTTTTTCCGATGAACGTCTTTTGTGTCAACACTCTGATATCATGACTTTCTATAATTATTATTACACATTGTTTTACTGTTTATACTATACACGTTCATGTAATTTTAACTTATTTTTATTTGGTAAAGACTTATTTTATGTATTGTTGACCACAGTTATTGTAAGTATTGCATATTTAACTAAAAAATATTTTTATTTTTATACAGTATATTTTATTTATATTATTATATCTAATAATTCAAACATGAAATACACAAGCTTACACTGTGAAGTCTTTTTATTAATTTACTTTAAGAATAATGATCTCTAAAACAAAATATCTTAAATTGGCGCTGTATAATGCTGGATCTTTGGGAACCGGTCATGATGACTTTATCGTGGCAATGAAAAGGTTTGACGCGGATGTAGTTGCTATAAACGAGACTTGGCTGCCGGCTGGCCAGGAGGCGCGTGCGCCTGTCGTGCCAGGGTACAAGCTGCGCAGCGCCCCACGCCCGCGACACATGCGTGGCGGTAGGGGCGGTGGCGTCGGGTTTTATGTCAAGCGGGATCTACGCGTGCGCTTTTTGAAGCACCCCGTCGCAGATATTGAACAGTTGTGGTTGTCAACACAGGTGAATGGCTTCCGTGTTGTAATCGGGACGGCATATAGACCTCAATGGGTTAACGAGGATACATTTCTTGATGCACTGACGGAATCAGTGGTTTCCCTCGCGAACCACGATTGCCTTGTTCTGTTGGGAGACTTTAATATTAATTTACTAGATAATCGCGATAGTAGGGTTTCCAAATTGGAGGGTTTTCTTCAGTATTTGGACCTAAAGCAGGTTGTGCGGGAACCAACACATCTATCCGCTAACTCCGACACACTTATAGATTTGGTCTGTACAAACTGTAAAATACGAGATGTTTTTGTTTCTAACATTACCGGGTCCATCGGCCACAAAATGGTTAATGTCATTCTTTCACTGAAGAAACTTAAGGTCCCCGCAAAGGTGATAACATTTAGACCTATAAGGGATATTGACTTGGCTCGGTTTGAGACTGATTTGTCCGCGATAGACTGGGAGGAGGTGTCAAGTATCCCTAGTGTGGAAGATATGGTTGGTGAATTTAACGACCGGCTTCTCTCTCTTTTCGATATTCACGCGCCGCTAATTACGAGAAAGATCAAACCGGCTCAATCGCTGCCGTGGATAACGAACATGATCAAATTTATGATGAACCTTCGTAATGAGGCATATGAAAAATATCGACGCACAAAATCTATAGTACATAAGAAATACTATAAAGATCTTAAAGCCATTGTTTCCACTAGCATTTATAATGAAAAACGCGCTTATTTTAATCATTTTGTTAATAAAAATGTCAGCAATGGTAAAGCATTTTGGCGAAATGTAAAGGAAAAGGTACTGTTGAGCGCCGATGAAAGCGATTGCTTGCCGGAATGTTTCGATAACGCTAACAACATTAATTNGCTGTAATTGTCGACTTTACCATCATAAAATATGTACAACTGGAAACCTAAATAAATTGTGTCAATTGAGAGGGAACTGTTTTATTTATTTTCTTATTTTATTTCAATCAAGGAACGGTAATTCTATAAATTTCTGCAAGCCGGACAACCTCTTTTCACGTGCAGACAATTTACCATATTCTCCGTCTGCACCGGTGGCGGTTCAACTCCGGTCACCAAGCCGCCAGGTAAAAATCCTTTCTTGCAGTACTTAAACAAAATATTTCTGCGCCCAAACGCCCTGCGTTTCGCCCTGCCTTGAATGTGCTTATATGCCAAGTCGACTGGAGATAAACAACCGTTGTTAAAAACCCGATGGAGAAAGTAAGCATAACTTTTGATAATCTTTAAAAAGGGCCTACCCTTTTGTACGTAGCAGTTATAAAATCGGTGTTTTTACATTTATGTAAAACCAATCAGAAAAGTTTTAAGGGCGACTCTAGCACCTTTGTGGTACCACGTCGAATAATTTCTGATAGAGGAACTTTTTTCCCATGCAAGACTTTCAAAAAAATGACCGATAAAGGTATGACTTTCTTAAAACTCAGTTTAACGAAAGGAAGCGTTATGCGCACCTCCTCACAGACCTGGTCCTCAAGTCTACTAATTTTAATTAAATGACAAGCTATTGATATTCAATAACGATTCCATTACGATTGAGACTTCACTTTGATTTTGAAGACATAAATACTATACCAGACCACTTGCTGAATTACTGGATTGGTTTCAATAAGATCAACATAATCGTATATTGCATGAATCAAGATTAAACAATATACGAAGAGGCGGTCTTGCATTAACTGCATTACTCTGTATATTAAGAATTGGGGACTCAGGAAACAGGTTATCAGCTTTGTTCCAAGTGCCCAGAAGAACACCGGAAACGTTAATGGACATAGCCAGAGAACATTTGTTAATGAACTTTGTGCCTAGACATCTAGGAGTTCAGCACATTTCTAGGGAAGACGTAGTAGAAGAGAGACATGCCATAGTCATATGTGATGGCACATATGACTATGGCATGTCTCTCAATGATGTTCAACTTTATATCGCCAGTGACCCAACTGAGATACATGCTGCCTCACGCGCACTGAACGATGATTTGGACGCTATTGCTATCTGGTCAAATGACAACGCTCTGTCACTGAATCNCATTAATTCTCATTTCTTAAATGTACCTGGGACCAATACCATTTCAATTTCTCAATTGTCATATTTTGTTCATCATCGCTTTGACGATTCCAAGCCACCATTCACGCTGTGTCCTGTTAGGGAGTTTGAGGTAGCAAAATATATTAGCGCCATTAAATCTAATGCAATTGGTAGTGACGGCATCAGCAGGGACATGATCGTGCTTACTCTACAGCAATCGTTACCTGTTATTACCAGTATTATCAATAGCTCAATAGCGACAGGGGTATTTCCTCATCAATGGAAAAGTGCACTGATAACCCCATTGCCGAAAGTCGATCACCCCGCCGAACTAAAGGACCTTCGACCGATAAGCATTCTGCCATTTCTATCAAAAATATTGGAAAAGGCAATACATGCGCAACTGGTTAAATACATAGAAGGCAATAGGCTCCTTCCGTCCCATCAATCTGGTTTCCGAAAAGGCCGTGGTACTGTCACGGCACTTCTCGATGTGACCGATAATATACTTGCCGATCAGGATGATGGACGGGGCACTTTGATGGCACTGCTGGATTTCTCACGTGCATTCGATAGTATAAGCATCCCATTGCTTCTTGCCAAGATGTCTTACTATGGTTTCGACACTCATACAGTTACATGGTTTGCGAGCTATCTGAGTGGCCGGCATCAATCGGTCAAACTTCGAAAGGAAGACGGTTCATACTCGATCTCGGAGCCCAGTGTGGTCAATCGTGGGGTTCCTCAGGGTTCTATATTGGGTCCACTCTTGTTTATTTTATATAGTGCAGACTTGGTACATGTAATCAAACACTGCAAATACCATTGTTATGCAGACGATGTTCAACTTTATATCGCCAGTGACCCAACTGAGATACATGCTGCCTCACGCGCACTGAACGATGATTTGGACGCTATTGCTATCTGGTCAAATGACAACGCTCTGTCACTGAATCCGACTAAGTCTAAGCTTATGGTTCTTGGTTCGTCAAAGTTGACTGAAAGGATTGTGAACGCTGATCCTGTGGTAAAAATTATGGACACAGTTATTGAGATGGTTAAGGAAACGAGAAATCTGGGCATCGTTTTTGACGCTGGTTTGCGCTTCGAGAGCCATGTGCTGGGTCTCGTCAGAAGCTGTTTCTATCGACTGAAGATTTTATACAAGGTCCGTAATCTTTTGTCCGAAAAGTCGCGTATCGTACTCTGCGAATCGCTGGTATTGTCACGACTTAATTATGGTGACCTCGTGTACGGGCCACGCCTCTTGAGTAAAACGAAACGCATGATACAACGTGTGCAAAACGCATGTGCCCGTTTTTGCTTTAATATACCTCCACGAACACATGTATCACCGTTTCTAAATAGTGCGTCCATGCTGAATATGGAATCCCGCAGAAGGCTACATATGGCCACCCTTATGTTCGATCTCGTTTCGCTAGAAAGTCCCGAGTACCTGCATGCTAAACTGAGGTTTTCTGATTTCCATAGGCGTTACGGGCCTGGTCTGCCCAGATCTGCCCGTGTACCCCTAGCGATGCACAAGCACAGAACTGTAGGTTTCACGGGCAGTTTCCGCTACCAGGCTACTNGATGTTCAACTTTATATCGCCAGTGACCCAACTGAGATACATGCTGCCTCACGCGCACTGAACGATGATTTGGACGCTATTGCTATCTGGT